GTTGGGTGGAATGGTCTCCCATGGATCACATTGCTTCATACATCTCCATGTTTGTAGAGGTCTCAATGAAGTCTGAAAAGGTACTAAAGCCGAGTGAAAGACAAAACTACAAAATAAACGACAACTTTTTAAAATGTCAAAATTTTGTTACAAATATCACAATTTTCTTTCAAATATGTTCCGAGGAATCTCAAAATAAAAATAACTAAGTCTGCATGTCTAAGTCACAATCATCACAAGTATTGGAAAATGGTGTATAAGATTTGAATTGGAAGCCCTCACAGAAAGATCCCTGAAAAAAATTCAAAATTCAAATGTCAAGATTTAAAAAAAGTTCAAACATACTTACTGGATTTACTAGAAGGCAACCTTTATAATCTTCAGCATAGGCCTCAAACTTGTCTCCAACAACAACTAAATCAGGTAAGGGATACAGCCTCAAAGTGTGATCATAATCCCAGTGGACTGTCAAAGAATTCAATGATAAAGGGCTTAGGTGTCCTTGACTTATTACTGTCCTCTTAATCTGAAGATTAAAAAAAGCACACATAATAAAACAACTTTGATCTGTACATTCTCATATTTGAACTAGAACGAAGTGGAGAAGTAGAAAGCCAAAACCTCCCTTTTCCAAAAAATTAATCTCTCCTAAAAATATACCCCTTTCAATTTAAACAATATTCCTATGGCTGGGATTTATTCAAATAAGCTAATGAATGTCATTACATACTGTCATGGATGACGTGATTAGATTAAACTCATTCATGACATAAAGTCGTAATTTTGTTATCCAAATTTGGTGCTGAAGGGACAGTGACGAAACATCAGATGTACACCAGTGAGAGTGAGTGTTCCATGTAAGTGAAATTTGACCCCTTTCATTAACTATATTGTGTAACAATCCTGTTAATGATATCTGATTCAATCCCATAACGAATGTTGAAAAAGTGTTTTTCTATAACTCAGTGTTCATATAAACGTATTTGTGTCAAAAGTATTTTTCTTTTATGTAATTCCTGTTAATGATATCTGATTCAATCCCATAACGAATGTTGAAAAAGTGTTTTTCTATAACTCAGTGTTCATATAAAAGTATTTGTGTCAAAAGTATTTTTCTTTTATGTAATTCAATATTTAGATAGATAGATACTTTATTAATCTCTTCAGATTGTTTACTTAGATAGATACTTTATTAATCTCTTCAGATTGTTTACAACAACACGAGACACGTTAAACAAGGTGCGAACAATAACACCAGTTTATGTTTATAAGATAATATACACGGAATGAAACATATTAAAAGATAATTACAATTTATATGAAAGTAGCTGTTTGAGGGCTCTTTTCTTCCAGTTCGTGTCTGAAAGTTACTTCTTTGCACGATCCATCAAGTTAGGAGAACTTTATTTGACATATAGGGAAACAAATTATAATAATACCTTTGTATATAGACTCTATATACAAAGATAATACTCACACAATCTACAATTTGCTCTTTGGGGGGTTTATGCAAAGTACCTTGCAAGAATTTTGGAACAAGATCTGCCCTGAATAGCACTATTTCTCTATTACAATATTGAAGCCTGCAAGGATTTGTGGGGAAGATAGCCTTAGGAAGTAATCTTTTCATTTCTCCTGTTACATAATCGGGTAAGCCCAACCTAAAAAAAAAATGAGAATAATAATGATACTTTGATAGTATACGTTAGCTTATATACATATATAAACAAAAAACTTAAAAAATTGTTTCATTCAATTTCACATGAAACATGAAGTTACAGGTCTTTATGAAAAAATATCATTTTGTTCAAGCTGTTTTTACTCATTACATATCCTAAAATCATTAATGACTGTTAAAAAATCAATTATTGATAATTTCAATCTGTAAACGTATTTAAAATTACAATTTAACACTAAGAATTTTTGTTTCTTTCAAAATCTATTCAATTCAGATATGCGAATTCTTAACGGCATTTTAAATAATTCTGTACTTGTTTCCAGTGAAACCAACATAATTTCTTCAATTGAATCTTTCTTGAGAGATCGCCAGCAAAGAATGACTAGAGATGGTTGTCAATCCCGATTTCTGTCGTAAGTAACTCTGGTGTACCACAAGGTTACATTACGAGACCTTTAATGTACGCTATTTATACATTCCATTCGATGAAAAGTATTCAAACATGTACGCTGACGACACTCCTCTCTATCACAGCTTGTCTCCATGAAGGGCTTGCACCCAAATAAATCGGGATCTGAAAGCTTTTATTGAAGCAGCGTCAAATTACTACCTAATCATCAATGAGGACAAATCCAAAGCAATTTTGTTTGTAACATACAATATACAAATAACGAATAGATAATGAGAGTCTCGAAATTGTGGATGAGGTGAATAGTTTGAGTGTTACTGATGCTGAATTGAAATTTGAATTTTTTCCTTTCTCGTCAAAAAGCTTTTTACCAACCAATTTACTACAAATATTTATATCCTCAATATCAAACATTATATAATTAACTAATCATCATTGCATTACTCACACAATCAAATGCATCCACCTGTTTTACCTATTGCCGATTTCTGCAGATTTAATAAATTAAAAGTTTGTAAATAATAAAAACTTGCCTTGGTACAATATGTAGAGTACAAGGGTCAGCTAAACCTGGCACAAATACGAATTCACTCTCAGTGGAAATACCAGGATATTTCAGTATTAACTCTGCCAATTTTTTGAATAATTTTCTCAAAGTTTGCATCGTTTCATTTCCTTGGGAGTTTGACATAAAATTTCCCATAAAAATGAATGCTATAGGCGGAATATCCTCAAAACCCGCGAAGAGAAACTCCAGTTTCTCAAATATCTGAAACAGATTAAAATGTGACTTGAAAAACCTGTTGTTACTCCACAGGAAGTTACTTCTATTTGGTTATATGGTGGAATTGGCCGATACTTGATGAAAATACATAAGGTATTCAAAAAACACTTTATTGTGAGATTTTCACTAAACAGTTCTACAAAAACGCACAAAACGCAACACGCCATTCTATGGCGAAAACCGTGTTGCGTTTTTGTAAAACTAGCGAATTTGGATAAGAAAATAGCCAGATTTTCGAAAATGTCAGGTTTTTCATCCTGCAAAAACTCATAAATAACCCTGTTATTTGAAAAATCATTTGTACCATCAACAAACTGCTTTCTGGAGAGCAACTCTTCATAAAATATATATTTCGCTATGCCACTGCTGAACTGCTATGTCCCTTTAAATTGTGGTTAACTTACTTGGTCACTTTGCTGTTGGGTGGAATGGTCCCTTGTTAAAAACTTTTGACTTGTGCATCCTCACTAGTCTCTTACATAACAAAGTATAAGACATTAAATCTTTTATTTCATTCTATGATTGTGACTTTTCTGTCTGGAGTATTAGAGTAGCTGTTTATGAAAGTCATCAAATTAAATTGCCTTTACCAACATCTATCCTAACGAAAAATTCAGTTTTTATATAAGGGCACTAGCCCTCAAAATATCGAAATTCAATTCAATAAATTTCAACGGTGTACTTATGTATTGGGTAACACTAGCACTAACAATATTTCAGAGGTTTGAGGCATTTGGGATCGTTATCTAACTTGAAAGATATTATTCACTTTCACAATCGACAGAATAAGATCGAAGACTTCAGTTTCATTGCTGCTAATGTCACATACTCAAAATCCAATAAGAGTTTAGTTCCTGGGAATTTTTGATGGAAGCTTGAACTGGAATGCTCATTGCCAATATTTAGTTTCTAAGGTGAACTCAAATATTTTTTTAATGAATCTGGGAACAGTTTTACCCATGACTGAATTACTGGGGTAGGCCTTCCATGACTCAAAATATCAAACCCCAATGAAAAAAGCACGATGAGAATTTTCTCAAGTGGCTCCAAATAAACAATTCAATCATCAGCTACCTATTCGTTTTCCTTAACTATTAATCTTAGGAAGTGGGGTGATTTTGTCAAATTTACAAGAATCAGAAAAGTAAGTCAACTTTAAATGATATGAAATATAAATGGAATATTTGTAAGACAATACACATGAATTATTATATCTATTATCAGTATATATGCTTTATTTTTTCATGTTACTGATAGTTTATGATTCTTAATTTTCAGAGACAGTGCATTAAGTTTGTGGTTTGTGAATTTTAAATTTGTTACTTTTAACTAGTACAACAAATTTTGGTACACTTTCTATATTTCCATCGGAGTTCACAGTGATAAACCACTTTCGATTTTTTGTGCTGAAAAAAAAAGTAGACTTGATGACAAAATATATTATATTGTTTGAAGATATCTCATTGACAGTCATCTACAATTCTAAATAATAATGAATACATCCACAACATAAAAGTACATTCGTTAATACATATTAATAAAATATAGATTCACAACAAAAAATAATAATAGGCATCACAAGAATGGCCCAATACATCATTCGATTTTATAGAGAAATATTTTTGAATATCGGAGAATACCTCCTATTTAAGTAATGTTTTGACATAACTCAAGCACTTTTTTTAAAAGTGCTAATAAAATATCCTAATATTCCACACTTGTATTTAATACTTTCAATAATAAAACATATTTATAAATTAAGTTTGTGGCGTTTGATACTATTTCAACCCACATTGAATAAAAAATTTGTACATTATGATATGAAATGATACCTCACTAGGTAGTATCATTTAATTTTCTTGCATCAAGCGACTCCAGTTGGGAACTAGTATACATTCATTATCTACTTTTTTCAAAACCAATGACCTTTTCAATTCAATATTTAAAGATACCAATGTCTCATAACATAGTTCCAATTGTGATATCAAATCATATTTTATATTGCCAAAAATAACTTCAATCTTCCCAGACTTTCGTATCAACATTTTTCCGATTTTTCCTTGGGGAAAGTCTGTTAAGCAACGATCTACAATTTCATTTGTTTTTGAAACATTCGGATTCATTTCGAAGGGCAAAGAAGAAGGCATCTGCCAAACCATAGTTTTAGTATTTGATATATTCTCAAATATCGCTAGCAATTCATTATCGAATTTCATTTCATTTTGGATATTCCAATGATGAGGTACAAAAGAATGTCTTTCTTCCATTTCACTGTCACTGGAGCTTTGATATTCAACAAGTTCATTAAAAAGATCCATCCTCTTTTTTTTACCCAACTCCTGATAAGTTTTTTCACTAGTTGATATATGAAGATTTGTCTTTTTTCCTGATTTTTTCACCTCTGCCTTTTTGTCGATAGGTGATGTTATAGTAGGCCCAACTCCTTCTGAAAACACTCCTGTAGATTGCATTAACCTCTGTTTCGATTTATTTTGAGCATTTTTCTGACTCAAACTCGGTTTTTCAATTCGATTCAAATGACTCTTGTTTTTGTTCCTTACAACATTTATGTTGGGTTCGTATTTTTTTTTGTGAATTTTTGTGCCACCCAAATTAAGATCACGAGGATGTCTGATTGAGTTCAACCTGATATTGGATGAGGAGTCTTTAACAAAGTCTTTCAAGGAGAGTTTTCTGATTTTCTTATCCATTTTTGTCAACACCTATTGTTTAATATACATTATTAGTAATTCAATGTCTACTTGAAGTGAATTATTCCCTTGTCAGTTTTTGTTATTATTTTCATATTTATATTTAGACAACTAAACATTGAAAATTGAATTTATCACTCATCTTCCATTGCAGTAGGTGGAGGTGGAGCTACTACACTGGCGGGAAATTTAAAAAATAGGTTTTAAACTGCATAATGTTTAGTGATATGAAGTGAAACGTATGGAATTTTGTTTGTGGGCACAAGGCGAGTACCTGAATACAAGAAATTTTTTAAACTGCATAATGTTTAGTGATATGAAGTGAAACGTATGGAATTTTGTTTGTGGGCACAAGGCGAGTACCTGAATACAAGAAATTTTTTAAACTGCATAATGTTTTCACTGAAACCCTGAAACTTTTGTTACCTAAACTTACCAGCTGATGATCAAGCCACACATCAGAGAAAAACAAAATAGGTTTACTCTTATTTTGATTCAGATGTTCCTTCAACTTGAGAGAATCTCTCAAGGGCACACTTGAATTTCCACCAAAATAATTTAAACTTCCAAATGATATTCTGAAATAAAAAAAAAACTTATTGTAACAGAATTGAGTAGTTGAAGAACCTTACCTAGAATTTGCATATTCTTCTCCAGGGGGTAGAACAACTGTTGATACATGCAATATTCTGTCTTCATAGTAACCATTTACTAGAACAACACAGTTCTCCATAAAGAAACCAGCATGAAATCTACAAAATAGTAAATAAATGAATATTCCACAAGCTGGTGAACAAGTTTTTACTTGGCATGAGTTAAATTGAGCTCGACCATGCCGGTTGGGTCTTCCAAATGCCATTTTCCCTCTGAAACTTGTATGAGAGAACCCAATATAAGAGTAAATTCTAATGTAACATTGGAAAGAGTTAGTAAATAATCAACAGTTTGTAATTTCAGTTGATTCTTATCTCCAGCAGAAACTTTCTGCTGAAAATTACGCTTTGTTCTTTGCAGAATTGTGTAATAACGATCCAAAAACAATTTTGCTTTGATGTCAGCCTTCGCCAACAAAGTAGACCTACTCTTATCTATAAAGTACAGTTTTCGGTCAGGGTTGTAAGATAGTTTGGGAAAATCAAAGGCATTAATAATATTAAAAATGGATTCATATCTATCATAACCAGAATGCAAGCAGACTTCAATAGCTCTTTCAATATGTTCCTTTTCGATGCTTTTTTCTGCAAGACATTGATTTTCTAAACTAGCGCATAAATTCCTGATCATTGTTTCGAATGCCATGCCATCATTCAAATCTACACCTCCTTCTATGAAAGATGTTACCAACAAGCAACAAAATTCTCTGAAAAATTTAAAATAAGATACAAATACATATTTTATAACCACGTCTCACCTTCGAATGTTGAAACCACTCAATTTGAGTGCATTTTGTAAATTTTTCTGGACTTTATCAGTTGTATCCATTTCGTAATTGATAATTGGTACAGTAAAAGTGAAATGAAGGAAATAGCTCTTGTTTACATTTTATTTTCCCGCCAAAATAATTATACATAAAGAGTGATCTCTTTTCATTTCTTGTTCTTCTCCTTTATTAGATGTCATGTTCCGTTTGTTTAGTCGGTTAACCAAGTGGTTTGGTTGACAAATGCTCCTGAAAAGAAATATACAGAAGGACTAATAAAACCGACAAAACCGTTTAAATGATTTTTGGTATGGCAATTATTCGGATACATGACAAAACCTAGTTTTGTCCGCTGATCGCGAATCTGAAATCAAAACATAGCGTTCCTGTGTACTTTCGGAGACATGGCAATCCAAAAGTGGAAAAATCAACTATTTCACAAACTCACTTCTGGGTATAAAAATCAACCGTTAGTATATGTACATAGATTAACATTTAACCGTTTGAAATTTCATCGAGTTGGCGGCAAAACGTGTGAATTGATGATGAAACCAATGGGTGTACATCAGACCCATCACGATGAAAAACCGGTGGTGAATGATAGGATGTGTTTTCGTTTCAGAAATTTGATGACACAAGATGACGACAATGGTCGATATTTTCTTGGATATTCTATATAGAAAGATATTCCTATTAATTTTAGTTATCAATTGATCCTTGATAAATGATGTTGACGATACTATTATTTTTTCTTGGAAATTTAAAAAATTATTTTTATTGATAATAGACTCGTTTTGTCGTTCGCTATTTGAAGTACTGGGTGAAATGAGGCGATATTGCTTTTTATGTGGGTGTTCCAAAAGTGATAATCCAAGTATAACGTTGTATAAGATACCTTTGGTAAAAACAATTCTTAAAATATTCAAAAAACATAATAAACCAAGAGGTTCATTTCAATTTCAATGAAAGGGCAATTTGAGTTTGTTAATCAAAATATGTGATCAAATGGTACGTATGATTTCTCAAAAAAATCGAACGTAATTCTAGTCTCACTATTGACCGATCTACATTAGCCAATCTATATGTGTTGTTGATAGGTGCGTTTTGTTCACACTAATATTATATATTCCAGATTGAGTTATTCACGCAAAAAGGAACTCGCCTGAGTTCTTTTATTCACCAATGAGTCCACCGGTTGATTCGATGAATTCATCTATTTAGTCCATTCAAAACGTTAGCGCGTTTCTGTTGGTTGAAGCAATTAATCAAACATTTTTTGTTTAGTTTAAGAACTCGCCTAATAGTTGGACTCATCGATAATTAAAGAACTCGCTTTTTTGACAAGTCGTTGTGTCAAAATTAGTTGTTTAGGTTAGGATTTTAAAAGTTCGTAGACAAATGTTTTTAATAATGTTAATTATTATTTAAATTCCAATATGTGGTCGTTTTTTTCTCGCGATCCATCAAAAGACTTCAACTTCGAAATTGGTGAACTTGTACCGAGTTTAGGAGATAAAAGTGTTTGGGCTCTTCACAAAGGCAAAAAGAAGGTACTAATACATTCATTTCTAAATTGTCTACACAATCGTTTATTATGGTTTTGTTTATTGTTAAGGTAACTAGTGAAGAAGTTTCGGTGTTTGTATTCGATCTGAAGAATAATTCAGAAACTCATTTAGAAGTAGCCAAGGCAGCAGTTAAGAGATTAAAAACTTTGAGACATCCTAGTGTTCTCACCTATTTGGATAGTTTAGAATCAGAAAAAGTCTTATATCTTTCCACTGAATACGTAGATCCTTTGATAGACCATTTGCAAAATTTGACTTTGGAGAGACCTCAAAAAGAGCTCTATGTTGCTTGGGGAATATTTCAGATAACGGTGAGGTTACTCATTGTATTGAATTGAATTTTAACCAGGTAATTTTTATTCTAGAGAGCTTTATCGTTTTTAAATAATGATGGAAATCTTCGTCATAATAATGTCAATATCTGGTCAGTTTTTGTAAATTCATCTGGTGAGTGGAAACTTGGTGGAGTAGAATATGTGTCAACCACTCAAGATGCAGCACAGAACTTTAAAGTCATTCCAAGTTTGGAAGTTTATAGCCCTCCCGAAAAGAATGATCCTAGTAAACAACGAATCATCACAAAATGGTATTATTGATTAAAAAAAAAATTAAAAAATTAATTCATAGTGATCCACTATTATTTTGTAGTTCTAATGACATGTGGGGTTTAGGATGCCTCATATGGGAAGTTTTCAATGGGCCCTTGTACCAACAGTCATCTTTGAAGAATATTGACAAAGTAAGTAATAATAATAGTTACTAGTTAAAAATGAATGGTTAAATTCTTCCACAAATTCAATATCTGGGCTTAGGGCTAATTTACACTTCAAAATTGTTGATTTGTGAGATATACAATTAATGTAACTTAACAAATGTATTTGATTGTTTGGATCACAAAATCTTTTAAATTATTGATTTAAAGGGCTCAACCTGATCTGCTCGATAGATCGGACATTCTGACATTACCATTGTATAATATTGACATACTCCCATTATACATATCACTTCATAAATGTTGCTATAAAGTGTTGCATTAATGAACGCAATGCTTGAGGGCCCAGGTAGTTATTACCATGGGTTACCTAGAACATCTTGTGGATCCTGGAGACTTCAAAAAATATATATATTTGAGAACCAAACATTTCTTTTCTACCACCATTTTGTAATCTATTTATTGAAATCATTGGTACAAGTTGATTGACTAAGTAAATGAAAGAAAACTTTTAATATTCAAATTTTAGATTCCAAAACAACTGGGCCCTCTATATTACGAATTAGTGAGTTCCAATCCATCTTCCAGACCTAATCCTGCTGATATTATATCTAGATGTCGTAAACTTGGAGGATATTTCAAGAATGATTTGGTTGACACTTTACTGTTCCTTGAGGAAATTCAGATCAAAGATAAAAATGAAAAAAATCGTTTCTTTTCTAACCTAACTCCACATTTAGATAATTTTCCAGATAACGTTTGCAAACATAAAATTTTGCCTCAACTCATAACCGCTTTTGAATATGGTGACGCAGGCTCTGCTGTATTGGCCCCAATGTTTAAGGTAGGAAAGAGATTTCGATAAAAACATCAATTGTTATGAACTATTTTTTATTTTTAGCTTGGAAGATTACTTGACACTGCAGAATACCAAAAAAAAATTGTACCATGTGTTGTCAAATTATTCGGAAGTAATGACAGGGCGACCAGATCTAGACTTCTCCAACAGTTGGAGCATTTCATTGGACATTTGCAAGCAGGTACTGTAAATGATCAAATATTTCCTCAAGTTGCTCATGGGTTCATGGATACAAACCCCACCATCAGAGAACAAACTGTCAAAGTGAGTTAAAAATGTGTAACTATTATATAAAATAAATTGATGGATGTAGTCGTTACTACGTGGTATGAAATCATAATAAAGAAAAGGGAAATAAAACTTTCTATTTTTTTACCACTTTTAATTTGTAACTAAGGTTACTGCAGTTTCGACATATAAAATTGTATAGACTGATAGTTAGATAATTTCATAAATCTCCATAAATCATTTACATGACATGAGATAAGTCCAATGGTGGTAAAGAAGATAATCTTATATAGAAGTTTGAATAATTTGGTATTTACACATAATGACATTGAGTAATTGATGGAGCATACACATACAAATATAAGTCAAGAGTTGTATATCAACTATTCACAAAACTTGTTGAAAATATAAAATAAAATGTACATATGAAACATATTAAAAATGTGCAAAAATGTCAATAGCTCATTGGATGTAGTCCTAATATTCAACTCGATGTATTCAGTTAGTGAATAAAAAGAGTGAAGGAGCAAAAAATTCTTTAGGTCAGATTTGAAATTTTTTTAAATTTTTTGCTATTTTTTTTCATTCAGGAAGTAGGTTACAAAAGTAGCATATAGGAGAGATTTTGTGTACCATGGATTGCTAAATTGATTTAGGTGTATGTTGTTTTCATATCCAGTATCGTGCTCGTGAAGATCACTATTTTTTATCTTTATTATTAAATGTTTGAATTAATAACTTATATATAGGTAAACACATGGGAAAGTTGGAATATTATTCTATTTGAAGGTATTTCTACAAGGTTCTTATAGTCCATGCCAAAGATGAGTCTTATAAATCATTTCTGTAAAATGAACACTTGTTATACTTCAGTTGACCTACCCCATGTTATAATATTACAGCTAATTGTCGCATAGACAAGAGCGTAATACATGTTAATCAAGTGATTTCTGTCAAAGTTCGATTTGAGATTAATTAAAGCATAATACAGTTTATTCAGTTTTTACATATGTTATCAATTTGGTTGTTGAAGGTTAATTTGTAGTCCACCTCCAAATTTGTGCTTTCTGATGCCAAGATATCAGTGTGGCCTAAGTTGAATTTTATGTTGTTCAAGTGTTTTTGAGGACTACTGAATTGGATAAGGACCATTTTACTCATATTATTAATGAGGTGATTTCTCTCACACCATTGAGTGAAATTCTTCACAACTGGTAGTTGTAAGTCAAGTGTGTTAGCAGTTAATATAATTGTTGAATCATCTGCATTTATCTTTTTTTTTCAAGATATTTCACTTGAATTTTATATTTGGGGTTCAGAATACCAATGACTATACAGGGTGACATATCTAAAAGATACTTCTGTGCATAACTCTCAGAGAATTTTTGTAATTATCCAAAAGCATGTCAATTTTTTTTGTAAGGGGGACAAGTTTTCACATAAAAACTATTGCAAACTTGCCGTATTATTCAAGTTAATGCTGGGATGTCTACCAAACTCCATACAATAATGCAGGAGTACTATATAGCTGTGTCACTTTGCGACATACATTAATGATTCAATTTCACTAGTTCGGACTTCCATTGTCTACTATATAAAAAATGATTTGAAATCCCTGAAACAAGTAAAAAAAGAATAATTAAAAAAGAGTAGTTGAAAATAACAATTATATTAAGCAACAATAAACCTGAAATGAAATGATAGTGAAATAACCTACAAGTAAAAATATAATAATTAAATTTCATCTGCCAATTTCACTTCAAAATAAATTATTCATGCATTCATTTCATTATCCCAAATTTCAATTTTTTGAGTTGACCCGTTCAAAAAATAAAAGGGGAGGGGACATTAAAGAATTGCACTATATATCGAAACATTAAAGATTTAACCAAGCAGACCCCAGTAGTTATTCATCACAGACAGAATTATTTTCAGCTGTTCAGCTTCTTTCAGTAAAAGTATGCAAATAGATTGAAGTTATCATATTCAAGTACTTCTTTACTATCTTGTGGTTTTTTACATCAATAACTCTTGCTTCTCTAATGATGTGTACTATAAATCCCCAAAACCAGAATGATTTTTTCAACTTTCAATGCAGTTGAACTTGATTCAACTAGTCTTCTTTAAATTAATAGACACAAACAAATTTCATTGAGGAAAATTCGATTTAATTTCAGTCTGTGATACATCTAGCACCTAAGTTAAGTTACAATAATCTGAATGTGGAAGTGCTGAGGCATTTTGCACGATTGCAATCCAAAGACGACCAGGGTGGAATAAGGACTAATACGACCGTTTGCCTAGGAAAAATCGCTCAACACCTGCATCCACAGATAAGACAAAAAGTGCTCATATCAGCGTTCATTAGGGCAATGCGGGATCCCTTTCCACCGGCTAGAAATGCAGGTTTGTATCATTGAAATAGGATTACTAATTACATATATGTAAACTAAGTGTTTACATATATGGTAAATACAAAATATCAATTATTTATTAATAATAATAAATCAACAGTTTCTTCATTGTTGGTTAATATGTTTAATCTGATTTTTAAAGAATATAGGGATGAATCAAATAAATCCATATAAATGCAATTCTTATTTGCTAGCCTAAGCATTTTAGTAATGTATTCATTTAAGCCATAGCTAATAGAATGGTAAGGAACTTTGAACAACTCCGACACTCCGGTTCTTCTTGAATTTACATTGAAGTCAATCTGTTGAAATCTGTTTTTTCTTTAACCAGCTGTTGCCCCCCTATGAACTTATGGGAGCTAAGGATTTACAAAGTCTTACTTTTTAACATGCGATTCCTAACCTAACACCATTTATAACTTTATGAAGAAGTTGTAAATCAATTCTAGCTCGGCGTTGCTCCAAAGTATATAAATTCAAAAGTAGCAGAATACCGAAGTACTCATAATTGGACCTCTGATATCCGAGCTTAATTGCACATGATCTCAGAAATTTGTTTTGTACTTTCTCAATCCTAGATATATTTGCCTGGTAAAGAGGACTCCATCTCACACAATTACTTTCCATGACCGAGCGTACCAAAGAACAATACAATATTTTGATGGTATTTATAGAAAATTTGTCTGTGGATCGTTGAATAAATCTCAAAAAGTTTGAGTGATTTAGATATAATATGATATTTGTGTGACCTTTAAAGGTAATTTTTTATCAAACAACACTCCCAAGTTCCGAACGCTGTTGGTCAACATTAGATTAATGTTTTTGATTTTGTATGGATATACAATAGGTTTTACGGTTCTTGAAAATGTCATTTGATAACATTTATTCATATGTTTATATCACATCAACAAGATGAGTTATTTAAGCCTAGCTTTAACAGTTCTGCATCACAAAAGTTATCTACTACCCTATAAAATTTCAGATCGTCTGCAAACATTGAGTAATAGCTGTAGTATTGGGCCTATATGCGATCCTTGAGGAACACCAGACCTTACAGAAGTTTGTGATGATGTAGAAGCATTATATTTAACATACTGAATCCTATTCCTCAAATAGCTCTTTATTCATTTTGACATGTTGCAATTCTGTGTTCACGGGATAGTAGCTCTAGTTTGAGAAGATAATTCAGCAGCATGTAGTCGCCTCCTAACTGTCCACTCACTTATGTTTACATTTCTGATTTCTTCCTTTCGAATGGAAACTGGCGTGACTGTTCGGTTTCTTAAAACACTAGATACAAGAAAGCGGTCATCCCTAGCTATAGTAGTCCTGCTTCGCCCTGAACCATGTCTTAGAGTTAGCAGACCAGTTTCGTGGTACCGCCGCCATACTCGTTGTAAACTCGAAAGACACCAACGTTTTTTGCAGTTTGGCGGTGACCAAGGCAATTTTCCAAAGCAGCCACAATTCTTGCCGCAACAATAGAATTTATGTTCGTTTTGATATACCAACATTCACAATAGTACATAAACAAAGGGCAATTGACAGATAATACTATAGAAAAAAGTATAGTAATTTGTTTTGTAGACCATTGAGGAGAATGTTCTATCATTTCAATGAAGGCATTGGATTATTTCAGTTATGTATATGAATGAAATTGTTATAGGTGTATTGGCTCTGGCTGCAACTCAGCAGTACTACCTTCTTTCTGAAGTTTCCTCGAGGATTTTACCCTCTCTCTGTCAATTAACTTTGGACCCAGAAAAAACCGTGAGAGACTCGGTGTTCCGTACCATCAAGGGCTTTTTGGGTAAACTCGAAAAAGTATCCGAAGATCCTAGCTTGAGAGAAAGCATGGGTGAGATGAGATCCCTCCTTTGAGTTTGTGACATCTTTAAATAATATTTTGTCAATGTGTTTTCAGAAGCAGATGTGAATACAGCAACTCCTAGTCTGAGTAATGCTGCAGCAACTTGGGCTGGCTGGGCCGTCACCGCAGTAACTGCCAAATTTTACAGAAGTCAGTCAGACACTGTCAAATCAATGAATCCCGTTACTAGTCGGATGTTGAGCAAACCGGGTTCTCTAGGTGAGAGATATTATTTTTTATATAAAGTCTGACACAAAGTCAGTATAATATAGCAATGGACCAGATCCATTAATCTTCAATCAAGAAGTGAATGTTTTACAATTGATACAAAAATAATATTTTTTTTAACTGAAAGCCTCACTCACGGATGAAAGATAATGAATTATATAGTCTCATCAAGTTGATCACACTATATAATATATATTTTGATATTTTTCTGTATCTTTTGTGAATGAAGTTTGTTTTTTTTGACAGTAGAGATTATGATTTGTGATTACTTCCTCAGAACAGCCGTCAAGCAGCAGTATATCAACGACGACTTCCAGTGTAACTTCCATGACATCTTTAGAGCATGAAGATGGTAGCCGAGGAAATGATTCTGTTTCGGATTATGATTACAATCACTGGGATGATAATGACAACTGGGGAGACATGGAGGTAAGAATAACATATTCCTAGTCATATACTCAATACATATTCAGTACTTGATGACATGTTTTTATAAAAAAAAGTCAACAAAGTCGATATCTATTCCAAAGCAGATGTAGTTTACACAGACTTTTCGAGGAATTTGACACAGTTAGTAATACAGTTTTGCTTGGGAAACTTGATAGGGTTTTACGAAGATTAATTGAAGAGGTTTGCAAGCTATTGTCGAGATAGAAATCAATATGTAAAAGTGAAGAGTTTCATATCTGAGATTTATGTCACGTGAGGAGTACCACAAGGAAGCCATTTAAGCCCTTTCTTGTTCAATATCTTCATCAATGATATTGAAGGAATAATCAAACATTCAAAAGTGTGAGAATGTTCAAAGGAACCCCACTTCAATTGTCAAGTGGTGCTCTGAAAACTACATGGAGCTGGATGTGAATAAATGCAATGCTGTCTTTTTATCAATAAATTAAACATATTTAATTTGGTTATAACATTGATGGCAAACTTCTCACAAGGGCAAACATTGTTCGGGACCTCAGTGTTCTTTTTGACACTAAGGTTGATTTCCATCTTCACTATGAGGAGGTTTTGAATAGGGCGACAAAAATTCTGGGCTTTGTGTGCAGGACCACTAGAGAATTCACTGATGTTAATTCCATCAGACCCCTTTATTAGACAGATATATATTCTTTATTAGTTCTTTGTAATAAAAAACCTTTTCAGTTGTAGAACATGTCAATTACAGTAAACATAGAAGTAGTGGAAAATCATGAGGCAGTATCATCAATGTTGGTTAAGAATATAAATGGCCACAGTTGTATCAATAACAAGGTTATCACAGTCAAGATATTTAATGTAATATTATTATATTAGGTACAGAACTCGAACATATACATCTATATGTAGGGTTTAAAAGAGACTAAACTACATCACAATGCAGAATGATACGACATGAAATATTCAACGCAAACAACATCAGTTTAAACTATCATTGAATAATTCTTCCAGCGAATAATAAGCTTTGGATAGAAGCAAAGTTTTCAATTTATTCTTCATAGAAGACAAAGTTCTGAGAGATTCAGGTATCTTGTTATAAATATTTATGTTTATGGATTGTTAAATCCACAGCAACTTGAAGCATTTTTTTGTATTCGTTTCATATACCTTATTGAAACTGAACAACAAACATATTCTTTTGTAGTTCCCGACAGAGTAGCGGTCTTTTTTTTATTGATTGGGTCAATAAATGTTAATATCTGCTTATTAGGAATATCTTAGAAATTTGCACCTAAACAGTCATTGGAGATCAAATCAGAATGTATAAACCTCTGAAGAAACTAGCCACTCGCGCTTGCGAAACGTCAGGAAGAAATTACAAAAATCTATGGCCTTCAAACCCGATAAATAGTAACACTGTTGTACCTGAACTATTTCATTTTTCTTGGTATGTGAAAAATGATAACCAAAGAAGGTTAAGAGACCTCTGATTAGTTCACATAATATTCTCTCGATTATCTTCAAAATTCAATTGAAAGTATTTTTCATTTTATTTTTCTTCAGACTGGTGGTCAGATGGCTAGTAGTAGCGGTAGTGGTTGTGCTACTGGCACAAGCGATCCAACAAGTCCACCTTCTGGCTCAGGACCAGCCACAAAAGTAACTGATGGTTGGGAAAATGAAGAATGGGGCAGTCTGGATGAGGAACCAGTAAGTTTCAAATCATCTTTCTTTCATTTAAAATATTTGCCAAAAGAAGGGTCGAAGTAGATGAGAAATAACACCTAGAGTCACTTGCAAGTTTAATATCAGAAAACTAATACATTACAGTGTTCGGCAAACATTTCAACTTGCTACCATTATTTGAAATTTTGCTCTTTTGGGTCTAGTCAACAATTTAGTTCATACTTGTTGAAGTAGCATTGATATTGACAAAATAAGTTTAATATATGGAAAAAATATAGTAATAAAGTTGAATGTCAAAAATTACACTGCATCGATTCTTGAACACTTTTGGAAAGTCAACAAAATAATCTTTTTATAACAATCAGTTATTTACATAATAATGCACAAATGTGACCATTATTTTATATTTTGACTCCACATCTCACTTCATAGGTAGAATTGGAACCTTTGGCATAAAATCAATCTATTGAATACTTTTCTGTCGCCAGAACAAAAATGCTGCCTCTCGAATTTATTTAAAGTAGATCGGTGAAATATTTCTCCAATGAAATGTTATGGATGCTTCAAGCTTTCAAATACAATTGAAAGGTCGATTCTTGTATACGTTTTATTTCTAATATCCACATAACAAATCAAGTGGTAAACATGTTTCTGACTCAGAGTACAAACATTGTATGTCACTGTCAACATTTCAAGTGTTTTTGAGAACTTATTTCCATTTTTCACATAAAATTTTGTGTAAATTCTTCAATCCATTTTTTTCGAAAGCAGAGAATCACTGAACATGCAAAATACTTCTATTTTTCATGCCTCTCACCAACACCCTGAACATACTTAACACTGCGCTCTTCTGTAATATACATTTTCATTCATAGGGGTAAAATTATTCTTCCTAAAATATGAACAAAGTATTGTATCTTTTCACTCAATCTTTATAAAAAAAAGGAAAACTGGATCTTCTGGCATAGAACAAATCCAAAATAAGTGAGTTGGCACCTTGAGGAAATGAAGAAAACTAACCAACTTGGTTGGTGGAACGTGCGTCGAGAAGAGAATTGCAGTTCTGGTGATTGGGAAAAGTACTTGTTTTTACAATCCATTTTTTTCGAAAGCAGAGAATCACTGAACATGCAAAATACTTCTATTTTTCATGCCTCTCACCAACACCCTGAACATACTTAACACTGTGCTCTTCTGTAATATACATTTTCACTCATAGGGGTAAAATTATTTTTCCTAAAATATGAACAAAGTATTGTATCTTTTCACTCAATCTTTATAAAAAAAAAAAGGAAAACTGGATCCTTTCGCATAGAACAAATCCAAAATAAGTGAGTTGGCGTCTTGAGGAAATGAAGAAAACTAATCAACTTGGTTGGTGGAACGTGCGTCAAGAAGAGAATTGCAGTTCTGGTGATTGAGAAAAGTACTTGTTTTTGCATTATCGTATACATATAATATTGATTTATTTATTGAATTAGGCCTTGAAATTCAAGAAAAATTGGAGTAAACTTTTTGTGGTGTATATTGTTTTTTATTTGAAGGAAGCTGAATTAACTTCACCTTCTGAGGCATGGAGCCCGAGCGAAATCACTCCGATTATACCACCAGAGACTAAAACAAATAACAGTTCATTGTCTTCCCACATCAATCATAGGAATCCACAAACCACTTGGGAAGAACATGAGTTTGAACCCCTTGAAGAAAATCCAGGTACTAATAGCGCTAAACTAGAGGAAGCAAAGAAGAAGAGAGAGGAAAGGAAATTGATGCGGCAAAAGGAATTGGAGGCTAGGAGAGCTAGCCGAACAACTGGAGGGCCTATGAAGTTAGGATCCAAGAAATTTTAATTCTATGGCTACTAATTTTAACCAATAACATTATGACATTTCAAATTATGTCGATTTTAAGTCTTATCTATATCAATATGCTTTTTCAAATACATTTTTAATACATTTATGAAGCTATTTAGAACGGTGTGATTTGTAAAATAAAACTGATCTGTTTTCATTTGCTTTTATACTTGTTTTGAACTTATATTATTGACGGGTTTCAATGCAATGCCAGTTTACAGGATCTGCATTTTTTTTCTGAAAATTGATCCTTACTATAACACCTTTGAAATATTTCAGTTAGTTTAATTACCAGAGGTTTGGCAAAAATAAACTAAAGAGGTACAAATCAATGAAAAAAAGCATAAACCCAATTGGAAAAAGAAATGAGGGTTTCAGAAATTAAACACGATAGTAAGATACAAACTTACTATGGAGCTTTTTATTATTTATAAGTACTATACAAACCATCACATGGTTGACAAAAATAATTCATTATTGGAAAAACAAGTATATTAGGGTTAATACTGAAGTAGCAGTAATTTTTTAACAATACATGAAAATACTTTTTCAAGTCTTTAATAATTAAATAGATCATATTATTATCATGGATGGATGGCTAGAAGAAATAATGTTAAAATGAAACACCCCATATATAAGTAAGATTTTTTGATAAGATTTGTGCTTTAAAACAGTAAAACAAAAGGTAATATCACAAAATACTTTTCTATTGACTCCATATCAAAACTGAAACATGAATGATTAGTTCCAACATATGTGGCTTTTGGTTCATTTTTTGGGGTCAGTGAAAATCAGAAAACAAATAAAATCCAACCATGATAAAAATGTTTTTAAAATATGACTAGTGATAATTATGTGCTTTTATGGTTGAGAAAAATTAGTTTGTTGATTAATCAAATAACACTTTACTGTGAGATTTTCACTAGACAGTTATATATACGTCCAACAGCTCAAATTCAATGTTATGAATGTTTCAATAGTTTAATTTGAACATCTAGCTGCCATCAGTATTTTTTGAATGATCTACTAAGCATTATAGCTTTAAACAAGTTATAGATTTGCTGATTACCTAATTAAAACGTATATTGAATACACCGGAAAAAATCCGCAAGTACCCAAAAAATGGCAATTCCTTTTTATTGAATTTCAAAAACAACTTCCTCATTTATATTCATTGTCAAACTGAGGACACTTTGGAAATAATGATGCCTTCCAAATCCATAAAACACTCCAATACTTGGAAGTGATAATTAATAGCCTTTTCAATTTAAAAATTCATACTAAAAGTTGATGAAAAGCTAACCAATTCAAATAAATTGTTTTCACTTTCTTGAAATTATATAGAAAATTTGAATACTTCATAAATTTCTCATCCTTGGAATGGATACCAATAAAAATAATTTATATTTTTCAGAAAAAGTTCTGAACAAAATAAAACTTGAGAGCAAGACATTTTTGAATATTTATGACATTCAATAATGTAATTCTGAAATATAAATACTATGGGTATCCCTATGAAAATATTTATCAGTCTCCTTACTTTGCGACTAGTGAATCTCAAAAATATCAGATCATTCTTTAAATGTAAAAGAGAAATAGAAAAAAATGTACTTTGAAATCTTCTCAGAATATTTGCAGTATATTAAATTATTCAAGCATACAAATAATAAGTTAAAATATAATTAATTATGCTGATCACTATATAAATTCATTCACCATAAAAAACCCTAACACGAACAAAGCGAATAAATAGAAAAATTGAATTTTGAAACGTGGTCCAATAATAATATTTTCATAGTTAAGATATAAACAGACAATGAATAAATTACTTGACACACTCGATATGATGTTTTCAGTTAGGATTATCTAATTTGAAAACAACCAATTAATGTTTTTATATGTGTCTTGAGATAGTTCTGGCTGAATATTTCATTTGACTATTTGCAAAAAATCTATCTCTTTCTCACCTTGTGCCAGTTTTAAAATATAGTTGACTAATCAACAAAAATTATTGACTCAACAAAAAATTCTATTAGGTATAGAAAATCTCCACATCGGACGTTATTTTTTCTTGGATTCAACTGATCCACATATTTAACTGAATACCTTATGAAATCAGAAAATGTATAGAGAGACGACATAGATTTATCTATTTTCTTTTCATCGCCTGTAGAGGACTTTCGGGCGGGGAATCTACTGACTGTTCACGTTTCACAGACCTTTTAGAAGTTTTAAGATTCGTGGAGAGTCTCTTCATCGGCCTGGGCGATATACTGGACTCTGAGATTTGGTTCTCTGAATTTTGAAACCAACCCCCTCGAGAGGCATCATTGGCTGAAGCTAAAAGTACATAAAAGATTTAGAATTATCATATATATTAAATATAAAATCTGTTTTTCCGTTAACCAGCTGTCGCACCCCCACCAACGACAACTCTCAAAAGTCGAAGCTTGTGCGAGATAAGGACTAACGTGTGATTCCTAGCACGGGTTGGACAATAGGAAGTGAATTTCGATAGTCCGGCCTTGCGGTTCGAACCACTGGTTCAACCCAACCAGCTACCGTCCCACCATATGTTACACAGTTATTAATATTGTTCTAGTCATTTCGATATCACCCCATTTTAATACTGTTATTGTTTTTCAACAATAGTAAAAAGCAAAAATCAAGAACTTTTCACTAATAGATAGCACTGCTGCTGATGAACTCTATATGTTGTATTTTGTTGAATTTTTTAAATTGTAATTGATTACAAAATTTTACAATATAAAATCACCCCTTTCAACATAAACTAGCAGCTTACCACAGATGAGGAGCATCCACGCATACGTAAACAAATCAATTTTCACTACAAAATGAGATAAATATTGCATCATGTAGGCCTCGATCATCTCTATGAAATCCCATGCCCAAATTCAACCAAATGTACATATATCCTTGTATAATGGTGAAGTGAAATCAGGAATGGCAACCAAAGAGTAACAAATCTGTGAACCTTCAATTTACGTCAATTTCAGCAGAATTTCTCTCAAAAAGCAACAAATCCTTGCAGAAAATACGAAGGCGCTGTTATGAACCATGCAAAAGTAAACAAATCCAGATGTATTTCAGAACTGCCTAATAATTCACATAGTGTGCCATGTTGTGTTTAACAGTGTAAATAGCGGTTAACACAGGCTATCTGAACATATTTTAGTGGTGCAAACTGTTTCTCTGCCAAAAAGTGCTGTAGGTGAAGCATTCTATTTGAGTCCTCTCCTGAACCTTTAATCCAGATCCCAAAACCTACATTATATTGAAAGCTTTGTTATGTTCATGGATTTTACAGGTAGATGAAACACAGGTACCGGGTGGGTATCAGGTATATCAAATCATTTATGATAGAATAAGCAACATAGGTATAAATTACTCAGATTTAAATGTAATAGCCGAAACCGGTCAACAATAAAGAAATATAGTGGAAAATAGACAAAAAGTGTGTTTTTGTAGTGTATCCTAAGTGAACATGAATTTCCACAAAATAAACAAGTCGTCAATCGAAGAAGTAAAATCGAAGAAGACAAATTAGATACTACACATTCTGTATTGTCGGAAATAATGGGAGGAATCCCGTATTCTATACTTGGACAGAGGACCAGGCCGGCAGAGGCTGCACAGAAGTTGGCTCAGCACTACTTCATTTTTTAGAAAACGTTGAAATTGAGGAAGACATAGTAGAGTTGCGTTTATTTTGTGACGTCTGCGGCAGCCAAAATAAAAATGCCCATATAATTCATACATTATTATTTTGGCTACAACATAATACAAAAAATATAAAATCCACTACTCTCATATTTCCGGTCATGGGGCTATAGTTTCCTACCAGTGGATAGAGTATTCGGTACGGCAGAAAAAATGTTGAGAAATAAGGCCAGTATTAAAAATAAAGAGCAGTACCACGTACTGTATAAAGAAATAGGGAAAATAAGGGTATTGGCTGGAAGAGATTTATAAAAAACTTCCAAGAATTAGTGCAATGAAAAAAATTCACCTAAGTTTAATGACTGAAAAGAACAATACTGTTGTTAAGTGTCGTGGTCTAATTAATTACAGATTTGAATCCCCTACTGAGATATTCTAAAATCTCGGCAAGCGAGGACGATCTTCAAAAAATTATGAATTGGGACAGTTACCTTTAGTACGTAACTTACCACCTGAAAAAGTCGCTAATGTTGAAGACTTCTGAAGGCGAAATTTAATGATGACTGGCGGGCAGATCCTGAACTAGCTTGGTATAAAAGTATCATTGATGGCAATATAATTGGAAATGCTACACAGATGATAGAAGAAGATAACGTTAAAGATGTTGGAAAGAGGGAAAGGAAAGAGGTTGTGACTGTTCATGTGAAGAAGATCCTGCGCTTCACCTTTAATGTTCATGACATTTTCCCAAGTGGGAATACAAGTTTTTGTTTATTTGTAATGTTTTTCTTGGGTGATTTAATAAATATTTTTCTGCTTGAAACGACTTTCATTGTATGTCAGTCAAAAGAGAACAATTCCAACAGGCTGGTCAAGCAAAACGGTACAAAACAAAGAAGATGGAAATTTATTCATCACATTCTCAACAAAAAACAATTAAAATAAGCCGTTGCACAAGAATACCTTCACATCAGAGATAACACTAACACTTTCACAATACCGACATAAACAGGAAAGGCATCATAAAAGATACGAAGATGGTCCCAGAAATACCCGACCTGACCCAAAGATGGCGCTAGTTGTTTGAGAAATATCACTGTATTAGAAAGTACACAATCTATGAAGTATACGTTCCATGTTTGAAGACGCTGCATTATTTGGCAGTCATCAATAACGAACGTTTTTTGCTGTATTTGTGAAAATGGAGAAAATGTATCAAAGTTATGTGGTACAATACATTTATTTGAATGAACTAAGTCTAGCCAATATAAAAGCTGAACTGGATTCTACTCTGGGTGAGTCTGATTCTTCGTTTACAACAGTAAAATATTGGGTAGCAGAGTTTAAACGAAGCCGTTTGAGCTGCCAAGACAAGCATAACTGTGGTCGACCAAATGATATGAAGACTCCAGAAACAGTGAAGAAAATTCACAAAGCGGTACTGAATGATTGTCGACTAGCAGATTCATGAGCAGATGCATGAGCTAGCAGATTCAGTAGGCACTTCAGAAAGTACACTACATGGTGCATTATCTGAAAATTTGGACACGAGAAAGCTGTGTGCAAGATGGGTGCAGCTTTTGCTCATACTCGAGCAAAAACAGTGGCATGATGTTTCAATTGAGTGTTTAGCGAAGTTTGACAACAACAAAGCTGAATTCTTGCGTCGTTTCACAACCATAGATGGAACATGGGTTCATCACTTTACCCGGGACAAAAGAGCAATCAAAACAGTAGACTCAAAAGAGAGAACCAGCTTCAAAGAAGGTGAAGACCGTTTCATCTGCAGGCAAGGTCATGGCATTTTGGATTATTTTTAAATTTATTTATTTTTGTTCATCAGCAGCACTGTCGTCAGTTATTGATTAGATTTTGTAATTTCACCAATACCTCTGAATTTCTGATCAGATCTTTGGGAACCTCTATGAGAATGTCCATGAGAATCCAACAGGGCTGCTGCTAGCATTGAAGGATTACAGATCATTCCATCACCAGGGGCATTAGATGAACCACTCGGACAAAAAACGTTGAATGAACTAATGGGACTGTAAACTTTTGAAATGAATTCTTCATATGTCGATGGATGTTTGTGTTTCGTTACTACAGCATCTAAAGATCTCTTGCGCTCTTCATAACTAGAAATTAGAAAAAAAATTGAATTAACATGAAGTTATCTCAGTTCCTGTCAGTCATTTATATTGACAAATATACAAATTTTGTTCGATAAAATCTAATTATTATTATTTANCTCATTAAATAATACTCCGAAATGTGGTACCTAGAAATTAAATTCCACAAATTCTTCTAAATTTCTCAACAAAAGCTAAAATGAATATTACTGGAGTTCTTTCCCAACACCAAATCGTTATTTTCAACACCTCGACACATGTTTCGATCACCAAGTGATCTTCAAGAGGAAGATTAAACTTGAAACTTTCGTAAGCTAAAGCTATTTATGCTAAACAGGTATACTATACAGGTGAACGATACAGGTATACCACCCTAAATTAATTTTACAATTTGGGTGGTATACCTGTATGGGTGCTATACCTATATAGTATACTTGTATAGCATAAGGAAAGTTTCCAGTTCAATCTTCCTCTTGAAGATGATCACTTGGTGATCGAAACACGTGTCGAGGTGTTAAAAATAACGATTTGGTGTTGGAAAAGAACTCCAGTAATATTCATTACTACACCAAAGGTTCCAAACAGCGCATCATAAAAGCTAAAATGTTTTCCATTTCATCTAGTTATAAACAAAAAAAATTACTTACATCTGCTTTGCAGTCAACTGTAACCCGATTAAGATTACCTCCTAATGGATAAATGGTTATTAAAATATCACAGAATTCAGTGGGAATGATATCACGTCTATAGTCTCTACTATGTTCCGACCATACTATGTGTACTTCGTCATTACCCAGATGTCTAGTCTGAAATGAACATGAAGTTAACTGAATATAAGAAATAAATATGATAGGTACAAATGTAAAACAATTATGGAAACAAAATGCAAGAATAGAGATATTCAAAAGTTCAATGGTCTGTACCTAGATATACACATGGAGACAGACCCATCACAAACCGGGTGTATGATGGTGGAAGAACTGGGCGTTAACTCCCGTGCGGTATTTGATGGTTTGAAACATATTGGAAAGGTCATTAGTTCAGAACATCACGAGTAAATGTATAACTCAGAACGTAAGTATATCAAACCACAATATCAACGCTGATGATAATATTATTACATTTCATTATACCTTATTAAGTACAGCTTCAGAAGTATCGGCAGGCATTCTAGTCGAAACATGAAAAATAGCCTCAAGAAAACTCGTCGCTATATAAGGAGCTGTCAGTCCAGTTGACCCCTGCCTTTGCAGACCTCCTAAAAACCCAGTGTGACCTTCAAGCTCGATTTCCCATGCCAGTGCTGCAAGAAACTGCTCATAGGCTATACTGCCGCCCTGATTTGACAATATCGAATTTTTGTCTTCTTGACCAGGAGCCACATAAATAACTGCAAACTGAAAATTATAAAAAATGTTACACAGCAGAATTAAAGGCAAATAATCAAATCTAGATGCCCAATATGCATTCTGCAGGTAAAATATCATCTATTGATGAATCAAGACCTTTTTTAGAAACACTTTTCATTAAACTAACTATAGAATTTTCACAAAAAATGCGTTTCGCTACACTGTAGCTTCATCAGTTACTGGTACAAACTATCCTACAATATCTTTTTGATATTGTAGCAAATCGCGGTTGACGTCATTCAACAAATTCCCACGATACTCATGCAATGGTTTTTTGGTCAAAATTTAGCAATTTCGTTTCATATTTTTTAGTATGCATCAATCACTGATACGGAAAAATACATCATTACTATTATTACAGATGAATAAATGATTATGGAACATACCTTATGAGTCTCTCGACAGCTCTGATTATCTAAATTTCTTAATTCCCTAAGTAAACGTTCAGTCTTGTTCAATAAATGCAACTGCTGTCGTCTCTCCCATCCCGCCAGGCCCAATTGAGAAAACAGAAGGCGACATTGTTGGAAAGAGGCTTGCTCGTTTGTTGCGTCAAGTACTAAAAACCACACACTTTTACAAAAAATCGTCTTGCCAAACGTAAAAAATCATGCTACCTTGCTGATTTGTTGGGCTACTGCACGAGGAACTTCTTCCTTCTGTCCTGCAACTTGGTCGTTCAATAGGTTGCCCCAACATTGAATCAACGTGTTGAGATAATCGGCTCTCTTCCACTTCTAAGTTTCTCTGACTGATTACCGAAGCAATGGCTTCATTCTCTAGTTCAACTGACATGGGAGGAAAGGCGGGTTCATTGAGTTTGCGGTTTACATTTTCCAAACATTCAGGACTGGTGTGTCCCAGGTATTGAAGCAACTGAAAAATCAATTGAAACAAAATGATTTGACAATAACAATTACTTTTTTGGACACTGGAATATGTCATCAACCACGGAACGATTTTTAGTTTTCATAAATTTTATTATCAAACTCCGCTCAGTGATATTTGTGTCATTATACTTTATTATTTCACTCCACAAAGTGATATTTGTATTATGATACCAATTGATTGTATTCCTATTCAAGTTAAACTACAGAATTTGTATTATAAGTTCTGACAACTTTTCGAATATGAAAAGCAATAGTAATTGATGGGCCAATATGACAGAGGATAAATTTATATGTCAATATTTTTTTTTCTGCTGAAATTACTGCAACTCTCCTAAGACGAATTCAATTGATTCATGAGTACACAATAGTCTTTTAGCATTTTTGATTACAGTTGAGCAATTTGTGATACGGTAAAATTTCCCTAACTCGAAATATTCTATAAATCGAATATTCTTTACAAATTGATACCTTTCCGCAACCTCACTATGTATTTTTTTCTCCAAGAGTCGACTTCTAGAACACGAGTATTTCTAAAATTCGAAACTCTTTATATTTCAAGGTAGACAATTGAATAGCTTGGAGCCTGCTAGAGAGGGTGATTTTTGAAACAATCTAGTACGATGTAGCTGCAGTTTAATGAAATTTCCATTTCTTGTTGGGTAACTGTGACACTTTCAATTAGTTTCAAACTCAGACTCCCTCTTTTTTACAAAAAGTAGACAATTATAAATGTATATAGATGGTAGTGTTAAATTTTTTTTCCCCTAAAAATGGGTCTACAGGAATCTGTGTGTCGAAGACCATACAACATACGTATTATCCTTTTTTGAGAGATGAATGCTCGACTGATGTTAATCCCTTCTCCCCACAAAA